AAGTTGCATGGAGATGATACTTTTCCCCAGTAAGATTGAATATAATAAATAAAAATGCACCATCTCAATGCTGGAGAAGTAAAAAAGGAACCTATATGCATATGCGGTGGACTTGTGAAACAAGAAAGAAAGTATGGCCACTAATTTTTAAAGAAATTAGAGAAATTATTGGATATGTTATTCGAATACAGTGGTGCCTCGACTTACGGACGAAAATTTTGACTTACAAAAAGCTCTGGCTGCTAAATTTTGCTTCAACTTGCGGCTGGAGTTTCCATTCACGAACGGAAAAAGGCAGGGGAAAAAGGGCAGGAAATTCAAACTGTTGGCGGTGAAGAGGCTACTTCTTCGCCCCAACAGTTAGGAAAAGGGAGGCTCAGCCTCCCGGGCTTCCAGCACTGCTGCCACCACCACTGAGAGGAGAGCCGCCGGACCATCCCGGATGAGCTCGGCCTCCCGGGGTTCCCCACTGCTGTGACCGCTGCCGCTGGAGGCCTCCTGGACTTCCTCACTGCTGCAACCGCTGCTGCCAGAAGCCTCTGGTGGTGATGGGGAACCCCGGGAGGCCTCTGATGGTGGCGGGGAAGCCGAGGAGGCCTCCAGTGGTGCGGTCATAGTACCGGGGAACCTTAAGAGACCTCCAACGGCGGCAAGGAAGCAGGGAATCCTCCGGAAGTGGCGGTCACAGTGGAAGGGTACCCCACAGAGTCCTCCAATGGTGGGGAGGAAGCTGGGGAGGCCTCCGGCAGTGGCTGTCACCACAGCGGGGAACCCTGGGAGGCCTCTGACAGCAGTGAGGAAGCCAGGGAGGCCTCTGGCGGCTGCGGGGAACCCCAGAAGGCCTCCAACCGCGGCGGTCATGACAGCGGGGAACCCTGAGAGGCCTCCAATGGCAGCAATGAAGCCGGGGAGGCCTCCAGTGGCAGCGGTCACAGCACCAGGGAACCCCCCGGAGGCCTCAGACGGCAGCGGTCACAGCAGCGGGAAAGCCCGGGAGGCTGAGGAGGCTTTGTACAGGGTAAGGTGCTCCTTTTTCCTTTGAAAAAAGTTGTTGTGGGTGGGTTTTGGAGGGTTTGGACTGGGGGTTTCTGTTTCTGTGTTGTTTTATTCTTTGGTGATTTTTTTAAAGTCCCAGTGGACTTGCTCCAATGTTTATTTTTGGATTTTTTATTTTTTCATTTTATTTTACTTTATTTTTGCAGTCCCGGCATGGGACTTGCTCTGTTTATTTTCTTTTTCTTTTTTTGTATTTTTTTCTTTGGCTGGAATGGATTAATCAGTTTTCAATGCATTCCTATGGGAAATGGTGCTTCAACATATGAAAATTTTGAGTTACAGCCACCATTCCAATATGGATTGATTTCGTAAGTCGAGACACCACTGTATCACCAATTATTGCCCTCCTAAATATAATTAAGAATGACCATCATTAAAAAGAACAGAAAGCGTTAATAATTATAATGGCTACAGTAGCAAGATTAATATTTGCAAAGAATTAGAAAAGTGACAAACAAATTAATATTGAAGACTGGTACAAAGAAATGTGCAGTTTAGCAATTAATGATAAGCTAACGTGAAATGAAAGTAAGAAGGAATTTATATTTGGAGTATAACTTTGTGAAAGGGAAAGGTCATAAGCCAACAGAAGAATCAATGTATTTTTGGAGTGAATGGAATGAAAAGTATTAAAATGATATTTTTGGTTATCTAGTCCTGAGGGTAAAAGTGGCACAGGTGGGGAATTCTAGTTGTATTGTGTATATGCACACATTTTATGTTAGTTTTGTTATTATTTTTCTTTCATAAACATGAAATAAAACATTTAAAAATAATAAATTATGTAACCTCTATTTCAATCAAATAAGCTGACATTTTAGTCTTTTAACTGGGGCTTTCCAGAGTCAAGCATGGCAGATACGGGCTTATTTTCAAAAAGCCATCATACATTCTAGCCAAAGGAAGGACTGCAGTGGCATTATACAGTATACAGCTCTCACCCTTCTTACAATGTCTTTTCATAGACATATACACTCAGACTTTTGTTGGTACAGTTGCAAAGAAAAGATACAGTAAATCCAGTGGCATTCCTTCATAGGATTATGAACCCCATTTTCAACTCACAGGAAGCTAGACTTCTCCAAAACTTCCACGTTTACTACATCCAGAACACAGGACAGAAGTTGCAATTATACTCATGTATTACTTACAGGCATTTCATAAGTAACTAGTAGGACATTTCTGTGAACAGAAAGCTAAACCAACTAAAATATTGGCGTGGTCCTTGAAATTCAAGACGAAAGTCTAAATAAGGGGATGACAGAAGTATTTCTAATAATGTGCCCTCTTTGTGGTTCCAAAGCCCTTGCAGTGCAGTAACGAACATTTCTAGTATTCTAGATTTTCAAATTTTTGATCCTACAAGACTGTGTTTGTATAAGTTATGTGTAACTGCTAGACAAAAATAAAAATATTGTTATCAGTGTAATGACAGCATGCGGAAATGTAGATCACAGACCATTTATGTAACAAGAATACGATTTCACATCGGAAAAAAATATTCTTGGACTTTAGAAGACGGCAGATAAGGTTCCTTTATAGCTAAGACGAGTGCACAGCATCAGGAATGTCTCTGAGAGAAATAAATACTGTACAGGGTCTGAGTGCAATGTGCGGACCGGGAACTCCGAGCCGCCTCCGCCTCCGCCCCAGGCTTCTTCCCCAGGGATAGCTGTGTGTGTGTTGCAGCAGCAAGCAAGCCCAACGCCGGAACCTGGTGGATCTCCTGTGCGGGCTGAGCCAGAGGTCTGTGTCATCACAAAGGAGATTTCAGCAGGAAACTCGGGCGAAAGAACCCCACCCCCGGCAAGCCTGAGCGCCCAGCTGCCATAACAAGCCCTCGCCCCTCCCGCCGCGGGCATGTGGGAACCGGAAGAGAGTGGCAGGCACAGGAGAGCCAGGAAGAGATTTTCCCCTTCGCCCGGGGGGGGGGGGAATGAAGCAGCGGGGGAGGGGCGTGGTCACAGGCAAAGAGGGAGGAGCGGTGCGGCGCCGGGGCGGGGCTAGGATGGCGTGAAACGATTTGGAACAACCATAGAGATAGAAATATAGCATGGCGCGACTTGTCAGTTCCCTCACACGTAAGACTCCTTCTACCACAACACGTTTGGCTGCTAACCACCCCCATATGAAATACCACTATCTCCACAGTCGAGAACGCCGAAGAGAAGAGAAACCCGAGGGCTTCATGGGGCCTCTGTGGTTTCCTCCGTAGTCTCTGGATCGACAGCGTCCGCGAGAGGGGCGGCTCCCGACCTCACCCCGTCACGTGACCACGGGGAGGGGGTGGCACCACCTGCTCTGTTTCCCCCTTTGCCCGGGAATGATACGGTGCTCGGGGTCACGTGAGGGCGTGAAGCGCGGCCGGCAATTGGTCAGCCGGAGCAGCGCGAGCTCGGCGGAAGAGCCTCCGCCGCCGCCGCCACAGGAGAAGCAGGGCCCGTTGGGAAAGTGGCGTCTCCGCCGGTCTTCCGGTCGGGGGGTTTCTGCGCTCCGTTTGTCGAGCGGAGCCCCGGCAGGAAACAGAGGAGAGGCCGGCTGCGGCGCGACCATGAGGCGGCGCTGGGGTCGCTCCCTCCGGGGCCTCCTATAGCCCGGCTCGGGTCCAGCCCAGCCTAGCCGGATCCGGCGGCGGTCCCGGCAGCAGTAGCAGCAGCTGCCCGGCGCAGTCATGGGGAATACCGTCACCTGCTGCGTCTCTCCCGGAGCCAGCCCCAAGCTCGGCGGGGCCCGCGGCTCTGCCCTGGGAGCGGCGACGGGAGGCAGCGGCGGAGGGGGAGCGGGGGGCTCCTGCTGCTGATGCTCACGGACG